CTACTCATGCATTTACATATGATAATCAACGTAAGATTGCCACTTCACACTGTGTGATATATAGGATGTACTTAACAGACGTCAGTTGACGAAAATCACAGTGTTTGTGTGCTGTTCACCTTTACTCTTATTTAAAAATCTTTTAATAGTACAGTTCACGGCTACACTCTATAGCTAACGGACGATCGGTTTTCTTACTGATTACATCAATAGTAGAGTTCTCCATATGTATTTTATTTATTTATTTATTTGAACACATAAATATTGGTACAAGAGAGCGCCAATATATATGCGCCACACAAAACAATGGGAATTCGAAGAGAAGTAGAAAGAAAAAAAAAACTAAGGAACGCAAAAGAAAAAGAGAGTAATGACGAAGAGGTACAATCAGAAGAAATCTTTCAGGTAAAGGAGACATAACCACTTTTTATGAAGAAAGTAAAAGAAGGTTACAGCAGGATCGCCACTGGCTTCTATTCTGAGCCATATCTGATAACGTCTCTAGCCACTGTGTTGCACCATCTCTCGGACCCCAACCAGGGAGTCGTGAAGGACCAACACAAGCCAGTCCTTTGCAGCTTTCTTTCATGCCACGACACCATGTCATGCACTGACCACCTCTCCGCTTCTTCCAACCAGTCCCAGAGTCGGCAAATAATGCACGACGTGGAATTCTCTGGGACGACATTCGGAGAACATGTCCAAGCCACCGAAGTCGGTGTTTCAAGATGGTGACACCAATTGAGTTATCATCTCTGTGCCCGAACACACGATGCCGAACCTCTGCATTACTGACATGGTGTTGCCACTGAATGTCAGCAATCCTTCGGAGACAGCGATGATCGAACACAGAGAGTCGTCTAACGTCCTCAACTCGGAGAGGTCAGGTTTCACAAGCATAGAGCAAAACTGCTCTCACCGACGCGTTGTAGATCCGGCCTTTTACAGCCAGACTAACATCACGAAGGCGCCAAAGGTGGCCCAGATTGGCATAAGCCGCTCTGGCTTTCACTATTCGTGCATTGATCTCATCACTCACACCCCCACCAGCACTTATGATGCTACCCAGATACACGAACTTCTCAACTACGTCTATCTGCTCACCATCCAGGGTGAGTACAGGATTAGAATCCTGCCAGTCTTGTAGAAGTACTTTGCACTTCGAAGGTGCAAAGCACATACCATACCTACGGACATTGATTGCCAACTGATTAAGTGCGGATTGCATGCCTTGGGCATTATCGCACAGTAAGAAAATATCGTCCGCATACTCAAGGTCGAGAAGTCTTTCTCCAGGCAACAGATCCACACAACCATTACTTACATTCATCAGAGCTGTTTCCAGAATGTCATCGATGGCAAAGTTGAAGAGGAATGGTGAGATTGGGCAACCCTGCCTAACCCCACTGCTCGAATGGAACAATGGAGAGAGGTGGTTGTATGCCCTCACTCTGCCTGAGGTGTTTGTGTATAGGGCTTTTAGGATGTTAATAAACTTCTCAGGCACACCCTTCTTCAATAGACAATCCCAGAGAACAGTCCTATCCAACGAATCGAAGGCAGCCCTGATGTCAAGAAACACTATGATTGTTGGCCTTTGAAAAGTATGGCGGTGTTCTAACATTTGGCGGAGGGTGAAGATATGATCAATACATCCTCGACCAGAACGAAACCCAGCCTGCTCCTCGCGAGTCAATCTTTCTCGGGTTTTGAACAACCTACGAAGAATGACGGAAGCCAATAGCTTGGACGCAATCGGAAGTAAACTTATCCCCCGATAGTTGTTACAAGAACGACGTGAACCCTTTTTAAAGATAGGGACAACTATCGACTCATTCCATGACGTTGGTACACTCTCTAGATCCCAAACCTTTGTAAACAACGTCGTCAATTCCTTAGTCAAAAAGTCACCACCATCTTTAAAAAGAGCCGGAGGTAAGTCATCTGGGCCAGGTGATTTGTAACGCTTCAAGAGTTGGAGTTCCTTGCGGACTTCCTCCTCATTTGGTGGATCAGTCGTCACCGGCCATGGAGGGCAGGACAGTCTGACCGATGTTGCCGGAGCAGCAGGCCAGTTGAACTGCCCTTCGAAAAATTCTGCCCATCGTCCAAGACGTCGATGGATGTTAGTGATTGGCATCCCATCATCCTCGCAGATTGTTTCACTCACACCAGACTTCTTGCTGCCAGTGGCTCGGATGAGCTGGAAGAGCTTCCGGTAGTTACCAGATGCAGCTGCTGCTTCCAGCTCATTAGCACGCATCGACCACCAGGCTTCTCGGTCCTTACGCAAGCTTTGCCCCATTTCCTTACGTAAAAACCTTCGTTTATGGTCAAACTCACGGTTACCCGGAGTAGACCGACGGGCTTCAATGAGTTGTAAGGAACCAGAAGAAACCCAGTGCTTAAAAGCGGGACGTTTCGCAAACCCACAACTGACTGTTCCCGCCATTTTCATGGCGTCATGCAATTGCAACCAATGCTCATCTATACTTTTCGGTGGAGTGGTAGCTAGCCTAGAGGCTAGCTCAGTTCGATACTTACTTGCAACAGAAGTTGCAACCAGCTTGCTAACATCAATCCGTTGATGGCGTTCACTTCGTTGTCCACTGAAAAGTAAGGCAAGATTGGCGCAGACCAAGGCATGGTCAGAGTCCAGATAGGTACTCCAAAAGGAGCGGCAGTCTTGTACACAACCACGCCAGCGGTAGCTGATCGCGATGTGATCAATCTGAGTCCAGGCTTGAGATGCAGAGGGAGGACGCCAGGTGGCACATCGGCGATGACTGTGCCGAAAGTTAGTGCTAGCCAGAAACAGGTTGTGGTCTGTGCAAAGTTGCAGTAGACGGTCCCCGTTATCTGACCTGCGACCAACGAGTCCCCATCGGCCACCTAAACGACTCTCTTCTGTGCCTAGACGCCCGACCTGAGCATTCAAGTCTCCGGCTAGTACTACAATATCTGTCGAACGCACTTTCTGGAGAAGAACTGATAACTGGTGGTAAAACTCATCCTTGATTGCATCCGAGCTGCAATCTGTCGGGGCATAGGCGGAGATGACGAAAAGACATCGTTTCTCACGCCGATTTCTTCTCACTTTGATGGAACTTTCTAATCTAACAGCAGATAACCGACTGTTAATGGGGATCCAATCGATTAGTGGTGCCTCAGCTCTAGCGCTTAGTGCGACACCAACGCTAGCAAGACCAAACGAAGATGCCACAGGGTCCCCGGATAAGCGCACGTAAAACAAGCTTTTCGAAGCGACAGATGGAGATCGAATTTGTAGTACTTCGCCAGAGTCTTGAATACGGGTCTCAGATAGACAACACACGTCAATATTAAGACTTTCCAAAGACATAGCCAGCCCTATCTGTTGTCCGACCTGCATAAATGTGCGAACGTTGAAGGCAGCCAGTTTGAATGATGCACGTGGTTTCAGAAAATCTGCTTCAGTCCTCGTATTCGGTGGTAACATACAATTTTCAACCGGACAGTGACTCGAGAACGTTTAGATACAGTCGGAATTCCACCAAAGACGAGCAGCTGTATAAGTATAAAAGAAGGTGAATAATGTGGAAAATAATAATAATAATGATAATAATAACAATAATGACAATAATAGTAGTAATAATAATATTATTATTAATAATGACAATAATTGAAGTGATCATAATTTGAATCAATTGATTGTTTTTCAAAGCGACAAAAGTAGTTTCCATAGACATAAACAGTTCATCATTTGTGTGTGGGCTGTGATACTGCCCGGGTGCCCAAACCGAAGCAGGTGGTTATCTTAGGGGGCCACTCCCCGAGCCTTTGACCTAAAGGTCTAACCCACAAGGCAGTGGAGCATCGTAAGGAGATGCAGTCCCATGGTAGCCGGTGACCAACGATTGGTTCATACGCCATTCGTTCCCGCAGGATACTGGAGCCCATGTGCACCATTGGTTTGGAATCCGGTTAAAGCGCCGGACATTCGCTTCTCGTCCTCTCATTTTCGTAAACAACACCCCCGCCACGAGAAGGCAATGAGTAGGACTTCCCTGGCAGAGGCTATATACGCGTGGCCGTGTGAGAGTATTTCGAGAGGGAGAGCGGACTCTCCCCACTCTCGGCCGTACCAGGGCATTCTAAAATGTTGATAGCAACCTACCTTTTGAGTCGCGACAATAATATACCTATCAACTGATTCTGAATGATCTTTTTCATTTTTAAACTGATGGAATTCCTATAAATATAGGAAATTTCCAGTTAGGTTGAATCACAGTACTATTTAAGCCTTTATATGGCGAAATTTGGGTAGGGAACTTACGAAACTCCATAAGCGTCATTGAAAAGTAGAGCTGAAAGTGTTAATTGTTACTCTGCTCTCCTCTAATCTACATTTGTTTATACAATCATTACATTCTTCAAGTGTTTAAAACGGTCAGTTGCGAAATATTTAATAAGTAGTAATTTAAGTTTGCAGCTTAAAATGGCAGTTATGATGCTGTTTTAACTAGCTAATCTATCTACCTAGTTCTGGAGTAATGACAAATTTATTAAAAATCAGCTACATCCTTAGGGGTACTTATGAAAACCATAGTATTATGAAGCTGACGAACATTATACTACTACCCAAATATTTTCTTTGTCACGTAGTGTAACACATGGAAGTGTGTTTCAGTCAAGAAGGAGTTTTTGCTGAGTTCTGTAAATATTCAACAACATACAAATTATTCACGTTAACGAAAAACGGTGTAATGGGTCATCATAGAGTTTATCATTTATCTTGTAATTATTTTGGTGATGATGACCTGTTACAACAGGTTCTATTGACACCGAATAAATCCCCACATTTCTGAAAACGACTACGTTCGATAATTGGTTGGTATTACTGAACTGTACATAGGTGTAATAAATCAATTGATTCCCCACATAGTCTAAGCCTGTTATTATTAGTTTGTTTACAGAACTTGATTTATACTGACTGATCATTTTACTTTATACTGTTTTAGAATTTGATTATCAAAATAATCGTCGTTCTACACATGGCATGCATTCCATAAATAAGGACCAAGAGCAATATAATCGTGACTTGATGACTCAGTATGAAATAAATCGGGCCTTGTTTCTGGCTAATCCACCTCCATCCGTTTTAGCTAGTCGTAATCGTGGTCGCGGTAATAATAGTAATAAAGTAAATGATAGCCGTCGAATAGATATACAAAAACATTCTTTAAATCAACCTGTACTAAATGGATCACGTATGGATCGTTCAACAGTTTTTCGGTCGACATTAGATCAGCAGCGTAGTGTTTTTCCCTCGAAATCAATCAAAGAGCGTGGATTTTACAATTTAGATTCTGGTATGTTCTTTTTGTATTTCGTAAGTGAATAACATTATAAATGTTCTTGTGATAATTCTTTCTCTGAATTAATGTATATGTAGACTTTATTTGTTTAAACTGATATATTTGGATTAGTTAAATACGTGACAAGCGTTAAAAAATTAAATAATTTCAACAAAATCAGTTAAAAATAAACTTCGACGTCAAGCTTGTGTCTAGTGTAGGGTAATAATTGCTTTGACGACTCAGCTTGAGATGCTAATCATTTTAGTTGCGATAAGGGTTGACAGCGTTTTTTATCCAAGACCATCTTATCTCTAAATTCACTCTATTCTATAAATGGTCTCTCAGGGGCTCACCTTATGGTCTGTATGTGCTCGTAATACAGAAAAAGTTTTGAAAATAACCCATTTGACTGCTATTTTTATCAGTTATATTCCTAGGGAGATCGTTAAGCTGTAAGATATTTAGTATGTTATTTTTCTCCGGTTGCTTATCTTCTGAGGTTTTGATCTTGATGGCTTTTTTGTTTCATTTTCGAACCAGAGATATCTTGAACTGGATGAATGTACAAAGTTGAAGTCCATGTACCCATTAAAATGTTCCAATTTTCGTTAGTTGAATAAATTTTGATTTCCATTAAAGTTCCTTTTAACTAAAACGGTCTAAGAATTGTAGTTCACTATGGATTTGATGTGATTTGAGAACGTAATTATCTAAGAAAGGTCCTTCACATTGCAACTTTTACATCCCATTGCATTGTCAATGTCAATAGGAGTCTACTCAATATAGACACCAATGATGTCTCCTTGAATGACATTGATAAATTTTTGCTTTCTTTTAGACCTATCGCTAATTGGTCAGATGAATCTGACAATCAGGACTGGGAATTTGTGGAGATTGTAGTATTTTCACAGTTGAAATCACGAGTCGATGCAATCAATGGTTGCGCAAGGTCATGGATCATTTGAACCTAGACATTAACGCCGCCGAATACCGTCTTGGTGGTCTAAAGGTTAAGCGTTCGCGCGCGAGACTGACGGTCCTGGGTTCGAGTCCTGCGTACAGGACTGTGAATGCGCACTGCTGAGTCCCATACTGGAGTGAAACTGCTATCCGGTGCTTCCAGGTTTTCAATTGCGGTCTAGCTTAGATCAACTTGTGATTTCAACTGTTTTTTTTACACTGTTCGATAGCACAAGTGAATCTTATTTCTGTTATATAATACAGTATAGTTTATTGATTAGTTCCAACTGTTTGTAGACTTCGATTTCTGAATATCCAATCTAATATTTCATTTTATTTTCTAATTAATTGTGTTAATTTTTTGTAGAACATGACGGTCGGGAAGCCTTGTCCAAAAATTCTCGTGGCCTTACGCGACATTCGCGAGTTCATTTTCAAAATAATTTTCATCGTGGACAAGGTTTAAGACAGTACTGGGGTCATGATGATAGATTTGAAAATCACGAGAATACTCCAGGACTTCGTGTTCAAAATTCTTTTCACAATGGTAATATTCCACTAATTTTTAAAATTGTCCAATATATACATATATATACATGTAGGATTCAGTATTCCTTACTTTTATATCCGGTTTTGATCTCATGAATCATACTGTTCAACCACACTATATAATATGAAGACGTTTCTTAGTGCAGATAAAACTTTGCTAGTACTTTCGAGAGTAAAACATTTGTATGATTGGATTTGTGGAACATTATATTTATGGAGCTCATAGTCCACTAACAAGGTGACTATAAACAAAATAATCCAGAAATAGTGGAATACAAAGTGATTGTACCGTCGATACAAATAAATTTTAAAAGTTATCTCGTACGGGTTATTAAAGCATATACATTCACATAACCAGTCCTAAATTAGGAATAGACATCGCCTTTAAAGTTTCACTACCGGTCGGTAACGACTACAGTGTTATCCACAAAGACAAGAAGATCTTAACGAATAAAATAACTAATTCAGCGAAGACAACCAAAAAGCATAACATTTGATCATCTTCCAGTTTTCTCCCATCGATTAGTATGACTTGTTAAGTGATTCAATACGTTGATTTCCTGCCTTTCTTAAATTATTCGTATAGCCTGACCATAGTTGTTTAATTTAGTTAGAGGGTTATTGTATTCGGTACAATCCCATGCTGTTGTATGGTGTATCTAATATACAAGATTTCCTGTAATCGTACTTAACTATAATACCCTATATTTATTTATAACAGAATATTTTCTGCCCAGCAAATGTAATGGACTAACATGGTTTCTGTGTAATATTCAATTTATTGAAATTCATTTTTTATGTAAATTATTTTGTTTCTTCTAATAATAAAAAACCAGCGATCCGTGTAAAATGATTGGTAATAATATTGATCGATCAGAAAACATCACTTCTTGTTCCTGTATTACATAAAAAAGTAACAAATAATTCATCCGAATACACATCAACAGCCTGACGTACAGTGCTTCACTCGTCTAAAATTCATTTACTGGTAGACGATAAATAACATATATGGATTAAGTGTGAATATCAAAAGTTCTACTTGGTTTTGTTTTCATACTCATAATATCATTGTGAATAAATGATAATGATAAATAAGCAGTAGCTTTGAGTGACCCAACAAAATGCAGCATATTAATTTATCACTGAAGTATCTTCGATTCTTCCCCGAGAATGTGCGGTACGTTTTATGGAAAACTATGAAGCTACGATTAACATTGATCAAAAGACATACAAATACCTGACGAAGGAACAAAAATAGACAGACTGAAGGACTTTTGTTTAGAATATTAAGAAATTGAATTGAATATGGTATGTTTTGAAAAGAAAAAGAGATTCGAGAGACTTACAATCGACTATTATTCATGAAGATACAAACTAACCAATCATTGCGTCGGTATGAAGAACAATGATGTTTGGAGCTATCGACAACTTTCCTAACATATCCATACCTACTCTAAATTTATTCATTTCAGTTAATTCTTACTCAATTGAATTGACAAATTATGTTTCATGCTTGAATGGTTGATCACTGACTACTACGTTTATATTGGTTCCAAAAATTTGAATGAATTTCCTTGTAACACTGAGACGAGATGCCTGAACTGAGAGTTCTCTCACTAAACCGAGCACTAGATCTTAATTGCTATGGATCACAAAAAAGCAGAACTATCAGCCCACCATTTGAGTTTGTGATGGCTTATTTAAAAATCAAAGTTACTCTTTATGTCAGAAAATTTTGGTGGAGATAGTATGATTATGATTTACCTGTCAATTAATGGATCAAAGATGAACCGATGTCTACACGATTCAATCCTTGATAACGTATAAAGAGAACGAATATTGGCTCTTATGAGAGCCACTACATTGTGATTATTATTTGACAGTGTTTTATTTATTCCTTAAAAAAATAATGAGTAGTGATTGGTGGCGATAAATTACTTATTGATAAAATGATATGAATTATGTTTCATACCTTAACAAGTTAAGGGTTGAAACAAATATTAGTTTGTTGCGCGAGCGCCTAACCACTAGACCACTGAGACTGATAGGCCCTGGGTTCGAATCCCATGAGGCAGGGTGGTGGATGCGCACTGCTGAGGAGTCCCGCAGTAGAACGAAATGGCCGTCCAGTGCTTCCAGGTACCAAGCAATTACTGAATTGTTTATGCTAGATCTACCAAAAGATTTGATGAGTAGTAGCTTACGAAGTAAACAACACATTTACTCATTTCGGATAACCAAAGTAGATCATACCGGTACCCTGAAACATGTAGACAAATATTTTCGAATGAGCAAAGAGAGATTCAAATTGTAAGTGGGTTATGTAAGAATGAAACTAAGTGACTTATGTAATCCTGTCATAAGTGATCTAGTGTAGGGTAAAAACAGTACTTTCATGATTATAGTTACTAACGATAATATCCAGTGATAATAAAAGGTAAACCGGTAATTAGTAGATCTAAGTGCTAACATATGGAAGTATGTATTTTCAAATTAACGTTCTTTCTCCACGTTAATCGGACATAAAATGGTTAACAATCATGTGTTTTTAAATACATAAGGTGATCTGTATACACGTGGTCATTGTGTTCTATATATTTGACAACTCAAAATCCTTTACATATCTGTAGTGAGTCCCATACATGCAGGTTAGTGTGCTGCTAAAAGTGTTTAGATTTGTAAGATGTAAATTCGTTCGAATTCGCTCAGCAACCTTCCTCTTATAATTACCTTTGATGTGTGCCTGTTTACCGGTTGATAAGCTCAGTATCGATGATCATTACAATCTTGTCGATTGTAAGACTTGTAGTTGGACAAGCAGTTTGGTACACTTATTTCCGTTTATGAATTTGAATAAGGCCAGAACTACAATTGCGATTGAATAATATGAAACTGTTAGGTATGCTGAGGAATATACCAATCATTATCATGTTAAGTCTAATGATGTCTTTGGACCTTAAATGGACATTTCCTATTGGCCATTATTTATTTCACTCGTTAAATATTGTACAGATGTTGTTTTCTATTTTTTATGGTACGATGTGGTCTGCTTGGTTGGTATGTAATCAGAGTATGTTTGAAATATAACGATTCATAACTCAGAGGCTGTGACTTGCGTTCTGGACTCAGCTGGCTGGGCTAGACAGGGAGGCGGGACCAATCAGAACCCTAGGCCGTTCACTACGTGTTTTTCCGTGTCACTGAGTCGATCGATAAAACGCTGCTCCATTTAACCTGCAGTCCACCCGTTACAACAGAAACCATTTTATTTCATGGTTTCTGCTCAGCTGCTTACAACCGTATTTGTACTGAAATATATGTATGAATAACTACGTGTAAGGTCATTTTGTATGGATATCGAAAGCGTAGATGCTGTGAGGCAGTTATTATATTGAATTCGAAAATTGATAAGGTAGATTGTATAGGAATTATATAGAGTTTGAAGAGATTACACAAAATTAAGAATTAAGTGATTGAAAAGATATCATAAAGTGGGTAGAATAACATTTAGCTCAGTGGATACTGAGTAACAAAATACAAACATTAGTGTTGTATCTTTATGGCCCACTAGGATATAACAATTAATAATAACAGTTACTATTGCGCAACTCACCTTATCAATTTTCGAATTCAATATAATAACTGCCTCACAGCGTCTACGCTTTCGATATCCATACAAAATGACCTTACACGTAGTTATTCATACATATATTTCAGTACAAATACGGTTGTAAGCAGCTGAGCAGAAACCACGAAATAAAATGGTTTCATATTATTCTATCGCATTGTAGTTCTGGCTTCATTCTAAAGCAGTTTACTGTCAGGTAACTGCAATAAATCATACTTTCATCATGTGCAGATTCTCAGCATCATCAAAGCAACTTATGTATTTATGTGATGAACTCTCGTTTGGTAAAATTTCCTTTTCTTTCTTGTAATAATGTCCCTAATTAATTGACCCTCCTGTGTAAAAGTAGTTACGATCCATGGTAGTTTATTTGAGTTGTTTTGATTTACGGTATGATGGTGTAAATTCCGGACTGGTTTTCTACAGTATGCATAAATTAGTAATACGACCTACACCGGTTAGCCTATTTGAAACACGACTTAAAATTCCCAATATTTAGAGCGATTAGACAAACAGTTCTTCTTTTCTGTTCCATTCAGTTGTTCATCATAAGCTTATCAGTAAACGTTATTTATTAAAGCGGAAGGACTTCAGTTGTTAAAACAATCAAGTTCAAGAAATCAATAGTTCTGAGACCAATGACTTGATGTCGGGTCAGCTGTCGAATTCCCAACAACTGTTCAACAATTGCATTGTGCGGTAAGTTAGTTATATTTAATATAGGAGTCCATATAATTACGGACCATCTGAGGTGGATAGTTTCGAATGTTTGAAGAGATTACCACTAACTATTAACTGATCTTTTAACATTTTTCCCAGGACTTGTGCCTGTGTTTGCTTGATTCGCCTACTTATATCTTCTCGGGTAGATTCTTTAGAGAACTTATGTTCATGTGAAGGTATGGTAGATAATCTGTTGATGTAGTAAATGCAATCCATACGGATAATATTAGCGCCTTTGTTTGGACGAAGCAATGTTAAATCTTTGTTTTCAAAAATCATGTAGCCGAGATTTGATAGAAGTTACTTTCTAGCAGAATAGAATGATATTTTTATTTCGTTGGTTCTCGTCAGCTGCTTACAACCTGTGATATTTAAAATCATGATTACATAATGGGTTTAAATTACTTACATGAGAGGGTTTAGTTGGAAGTTATATTGAAGACATATTAGTATAGTGTAGCAAGGGTGTAAATAAATTTAATAGACTGAATATTGTAAATATATACCTTATGTAGAAATAAAAATGAATTCATGCTGTTCTGCTAGAATGCTTGTTCTTGCTCTTTTCAAAATGATAAAGGGAACTATGTGTATGAGAAGTTACCTTGTTGGTTAACTCCCTATTGACATCGTAGGAGATGCAGTTA